ATAAATAGTTTGTAAGATTGCTAGATGTTTTTAATATTAGGAATTCTCCTGATAAACTTTAAAATATCAAAAAAAAACAAAAAACTGCATTTAAAATATTTTCAAAGCAACAATTCAAAATTTAAAACAAAATTAGAGAGGTTATTAATTGAAAAAACATTGGATAAACCGATGAAGAATTATCATTGTAAATAGGTCAATCGGAAGCTCTCTCTCTCTCTCTCTCTCTCGCTCTCTCTCTCTCTCGAAATACAAAACTTACACTTTATGGGCCAGTCATCTTAACTGCTTTTCTAAGCCAGGAAAGCATGGACGTTATTGCCGTGTGATGAAACAGAACTGGGAGTATTTGGGAGTTCGTAATATTTTTAATCCTGTATAAATTCGCTACGACTTTTGCATTTCAATATACCACGAACTGTACAAGCATTGACATCGTTCAGCGAATCTACACATAGCGATATCATTGGATTGGCCATGTCATTAAGATGAATGACAATGATCCAGCTTAACAAGTCCGAGAAATGGAAGTTATAGGAAGAAGTCGTAGAGAAAGAACATATCTTCGGGCAATTATCAGGTTAAGGAAGTGCTTATCACATTTGTTGTAAGAGATTGAAAATGCGTGCATGTAGCAGAGGTAGGAGTGTTCCGAGAACCCAAAACCCAAGAACAGATTGTTATGGACAATTAAATAAGTAAGGATGAATTGTAAAGAACAAGGGCTGTCTAAAAAATGTATTGGGTTGATGTACTCAAGCTCCTTTTTTAAAATAAACAGAGAAGATAACAAAACTTCATCAACCCATCCAAGCCAATCTCTTTCTTTGCACCAAGCGGAAATCATATTTAATTCTTACCAAGTTTCTGACAAATCACTGTAAGCTAAGGTATCATCTCAACAAAATGTATAAAATATTTAAATATCTTAAAACATTTTTTGTGAATAGCAGATTAATTGATCAGTCGATAATAACAGTATTTCGCACTTAATAATAATTTCTTAAACTTAATCTCTTATAATCTAAGGACCTTTATATAACAACTGTCTTGATCTGATGAAAACCGATCACTAAAAGTAGCGAATCGTAAATTTAAACAATAATTTTTTTGAAATTTGCGAGTCATTTGATAATTCTAGACGACTTGTACTTCACTAATTATTAACATTGTAACGTAATCTTGATTCAATATTACTAGAGTAAAAATGGACTCTAAATAACTATCGACTGTTTTAAGCAATAAAAATAACCCCAGTGAGAGGCTGTTCAACTTTAAATAATATTAATACGATATATCTAAAATCTTGTGGGATCTTAATGGATTGTTCAGGAGAATAAAATGCAGAACTCTTAAGGCTTTTATAATAACCAAGTCAAATATTACTGTCTATCTGTAATGCTATCTGATGCTATCTGATCTGTATCTAGCAAAATCAGAGTCTATTAAGAGAAGTTCAGCTTTATTCGTTTATTTTGAAAAATAATCATTATATAATAAAAAAGGCCTTGCATTTTCATATAATGCACCATTTAAGTATAGTATCAAGAAAACCATTTAAGAGTCAGTCAAATCGGTTTCATGATTTAAATTTTTATTAATTTCTGATGAATATTTGAAAGTTGGGATCCCACATTTGTTTCTTTTTTTTTGAAATTTTGTATTATATTAGAATTAGTTCTTTATATATAAACACTACATATTTAAAATCATATCACTAAAAAATTTGGGTATTTTAAATAGTACATGATGAATTGGTTCAAAAAGACTCTCCAACCTTGAGTTCCCTCAAGATTAAATAATAAATATCTTAATTTACTGTTTCTTATCTCTTCAGTTTATTTTTAAACTAATTTTAAACTATTTTTTGTAATTAAAAAATTTTCAAAAAAGGCATTGGAGTCCTTTCAAGGTTATACTTTTAGTCTTTGTGTATCATGTAAAAAAACCCAAACATTTTACTAAAAACGACCTGTTATAAAATAATTACCAAGAAATACCAGACGATTTTATGTAAAACTTAAAAAAAAATTATTTAAAATTAATGAAAAATACAAAAATTTATTATTAAACTTTGATTTATTAAATTTATTAATTTATAATATATTGTTTATTCGACTTAGTTATTATATAAATTTTATAAGTTGAGGACTATAATATTTGCAACATACCATCATGGAACAAAATTCCAGTAATCTTGTATTACTCCTCTCTTCTATATATTATTTGTAATAATAATATTTCTGAATTTATGAGATATAATAGTTAACAATAGTTAAAATCTACGATATAATACATCAAATATTTTTATTGAATACTCAAATATTATTGTATAATCAAATTATTCAAATACTCGTAATATACAACACTATAGCCCCTAATTTTATTGATATACATTTTTCTTTAGGGTACTCATAATATCTTATCTCTTTTATAGTGCTTGCAATCGATAAAAAATATAGTTCTTGTATATGTAGTTATATATACTATATGTTTTACCCTATAAAACATTCTTTTCTGATATAACGTAGATGTATTATTATTATTTTTTGATTCGAGTATTTTACACAACAATCTAGAGATCTATTCCTCTACCATTCTTAGCTTTAGAGTATTTCTCTAAGTCCAGTAATTGTAGTATTGAAGATTTAAAGTTTAACTTATTACTTTCTTTTCTTCATTTTGATCCAATCTATGTATTTAATATAATTTAATATGTGCAATATTGCTTTCTTTAGAACTGAATTTCACATGTACTTAAAGGTCCATTGTTTTAGTAACTCTTAGAATTTTTTGAACCACTGAATACACTGTTTATTGATGTTATTTTAAATAAATGGTATATTCACTTTATAAAGACATTGGTAATAGAGTAAAAGATGTCGTCGAAGTCTATATGGAGTACCTATGAATATGTCAAAATAACTAGATTAAGTGAGTTGTCAATATTTCAGCTGATTTTTTGTATTAAATTTATTTTTAACGTCAGTTATGAAGAAAGAAACTATTTTCTTTAAAAAATTATTGTTTTCAATAGAGTTGATTTTTTGTTAAATTTACTCCCTAACACTTTAATATCTGGGTTAATTAATTTAGGTTTTGGTGTTTTATTGAGAACTAGTTATATTAAAGGCTATATTTAAGATTTTCATTTATAATAAATTTTCAAAACAACACTGATTTCAGAAAATCTTTACTTTGTTGATATCATAATTAGTCGACTTTCGATCCTTCTTCGTGTATTTCTATTATCGGATTCTCAAATATGTGAAGCTCTGCAGGTACCTATGTATTAAAATTGACTTTTATTGCTGAAAAAATAATTAATTGTAAAGCATCATCATTAAACATAATTTCAATATCTTTGAAAAAACTTGAGAGAGCAAAGTGACTTCTGTTTTTAGAAGAGTTACGACGTCTGCATAGATCTATACACAGAAAGATAGATCTACTAATCTTACACTAAAAGTAACTTAATTTAAATTAAAGATTATATGGAGATTATACAAAGTAAATATATGACTGAATTCATATTTCATTAACATTGACGATTTAAAAAATGAAATTAGTTAATACTTTATTTAAAGGTATTAATCGTTATTTATTTAAAACAAAATTGTCATTGTTGGATTATGTACATAAATAATCCAAAATCATAATCATTATTACCATTATTTATTAATCATAAAGAAATATTTATAGCAAAAATATAAACTTGTATAAATATGTTTAGAAATACGAAATGTATAAATATTGAAAGATCTAATGAGTTTAATCAGGATACTGTGTTAGTAGTCGTAGTAGACACCATCTTGTCTATGTATATAAAAACGTTGTGTACTTATAAAGTATATGACCGATAATCTGCGCCTTAAGTCCTTTTTTTCTCGTCATGTATTTATTTTTATATACGTATTTTCTAATATGCGAAATTATTTAAATTAACATATTATAGTTATCAAATATTAGTCAAAGTATGTTTTCCACTGTTCCAAAGTATTTTTAGAGATTTATAGAAAATATCGGGTTATGGGTTTTCAAGCTTTGATATAAGCTTGTTAATGATATGAAGCAGTTATTGAAGACATCCTAACTTTGGACGAGGATATAAATATTAATGTTATATATACTAAACAAATCTTTTTAATCAATATAGTCCTTGGTTTTCTTAATATACTGATTTCTTGCAAAATTAACTTTTAATATTGTGATGATAGGTCACCTCTACACAGTTTAGATAAAATTTAGCTAATATATTTGGAAACCATAGTTTATGTAATTCAGTACAACTTTTATTATTATATCTATAGATCACTTATATATTGATTGGACCGAATTTAATTTTTTTGAACCATAGTTAATGTAATTTAGCTATAACTTTTGATTATATAGCTGTAAGTCACCTATAAATAGTTTAGACATAATTTAACTACTTTGGAACCATAGCTAATATAGTTCAGTTATAATTTTATATATATAAGCGATTTATAATCACCTATAAATAATTTAGAAAAATTTAGTTACTTTGGAACCACAGTTATAATTTTGAACGATTTATAGTCACCTATAAATAATTTAAAAAAAATTTAGTTACTTTGGAATCATAATTAATATAGTTAAGTTATAATTTTGAGCGATTTATATAAATAAAACTTGTATAAAAGGATTATTCAATTGTCCATGAATTATCGGTTTGCTAAAACTATATTTTTATAAGTAGTTCCAAATCTTTTCAGCTAAAAACAATCCATTTGATTTATTTTGAAAATATTAAATTCTTTTCGAATCTCAATGGTGCAGGTTAAAACTATAATAAATGTTGTTAATCCATTCAGAGTCTGAATGTTCCTGTAATTTTAGAACCGGTACCGCTAGAAGTATAAAATCTAGATAAAGCTCCAATTTGATATCCAAAATGTATTATCAAATCGAGGATTTAGTTTCTTCTTAACAAAAAATTAATAATAAAAAGTCTCTTATATAGTTTTTTAAATCAATTATTTTTATTTCATTTCATGTCATATTTTTTAAATTATTTATTAGTTATACATATATAATAATACTTTTATTTAAATGCATTACACAATCATTTTATTATACAATTTTAGTTTCAATTAAATTAATTTATCGTATTTACAATTGTTTAAAAACATAAATAAATTTTACAATACGTAACATAGATACTTGCGGGATGAAGGACAAATACAATGGAAATGTAGTAAAACTAAAAAGCTGCAGGATAAACAACAAACTTACGTCTACTTCAAGGACCTAAACAATGAACATTTTATACATAGAATTGATAGGTTGAATCTCTAATCTGAATCTTTAAAGTTTAAATACACAAATAATTTTTTTAAAACTACAATAAATGTTTGCTTATCACTAGAACTGAACTGCGACTGAAATGTCACAATTGCTGACAATAGTTTCTTGCAATGATAGTCGTGATAGGACTCAAGAGTGGAATGCATATGAGGGCTTTAGATATACAAATACTTAAATATATTTTACAATAATTTTTTTTTTTTATGTTTGATAAACGTTAAATATTTCTCAACTACCAATATTTCGAATAACACTAGGAGACTTATAAACTTTATAAGATTTAAAACCACGTGATCACTTTTTTCTAAAGAGAGGATATATATACTTTTTTTATAAATTTTAACAAAGTCATAAATTGTACTTTTGATGTAAAACCAGTGTGAATATTACCAAGTTTCTTAATATAGAACCGGTACCGGCCGTCTGAGCGCATTGTCCATCGATACATCCATGCCGTTTGGCGTGATTGTGCCAGGCGATGAGCCCGGTGATGATGTGGATGAGGAGTTGTATAAACCAGCGGCGGCATTCGCAGAATGTGCAGCATACAGGGAAGGTGCAGAGATGCCGGAGTAGATGCCCGAATAGAAACTGCTCAGTGTGGTTGGTGGCAGCTGTGGAGCTTTCTGTGCTTCAAGTACATTGTGTGATTGATTTGTGGCTGCAGCTGCGGCGGCTGCTTGTGTTTGGTGTAGTTTTGACAAAGCTAATGGATCAAAGCCACCGAAGTAAGGTACTGGATAAGGTTGTTCAAGATGATGAGATGGCGCGAAATAAGGTGGTAATTGATGGAATGGATTGTAGCCACCAGCACCAGCACCGCCATTCGGTCCTAATTTCTGTTGACCATTTGCTTGCATTTGTAAAGCACCTTGTGGACCACCAGCTAGAGGGTTTTTTGGTTTGCGTCGGGGACGATATTTGTAATCGGGATGTTCTTTCATATGCAGTGCACGTAATCGTTTCGCTTCATCAATGAATGGACGCTTTTCAGAGTCGGCAAGCAGTTTCCATTCAGCACCTAAACGTTTTGATATTTCTGAATTGTGCATTTTTGGATTATCTTTGGCAATTTGACGACGTTGTAAGCGGGACCACACCATAAAAGCATTCATCGGACGCTTGATGTGACCTTCTTGACCAGGTGAGGTCGGATGATGATGTGAACCTGGACCCCCACTGCCATGACCACCGTGACCAACCGAACCAAGTGAGCTTTGGCTGCCTATGCTACCAGCAGAACCAATTGATGAATTTGGCGACAATGTTTGATGACCGACGGAAGTGTGCATATGACTGCCAGCACCACCAACTCCAGCCAATGAATGTGATACATTCTGTCCACCCATATGACCCATGCTGGCTGTGCCCATAATCGAATTACCGTTACTGGCCGCATGACCGCCGACGGGCGATCCACCCATGGCAGCAGATATAGCTGCCAAACTGCCACTTTGTGAGAAGTGCATAACACGTTTGATATCCATATCAGCTGGACTCAATGTGCTCTGTGATGCATAATCACCGGGTGTGGGTATATCCAAGCCTTGACTCAAATGGAAACCATAATTAGGATGTGATGATAATGTTGCCATTTTTAGATTTAATGAACTTTTTAGTCAAATTTTAAAAGTTTTTGAAGTTTTGTTTAACGAAAAATATTTTTTCAATTGTTTATTTGCCGTATCACTTTTAACAATTTGTTCATAGAATTTTTGTAATAATTTAATAACAATTTTTTTCTTTCTATTGTCATATATAATTTTTTGTCATATTTTTGCACAGTAATATTTTTTATTTTTATTAATGCAATATTGTTTTTATTAATTTTTGTTTGTGTTTGTTAATACAAAAAAATTTATTTTGAAATGTTTCTTTTATAACTTTTTTTTTGTTTTATTTGTTTGAATTCAACTTTCACTTCTACGCCACTACGCTTCTGTTCACCTCAACAGCTTCGCACCGAATGATTTGTCTGAGACACGAGTTGAACAAATCCAGTTTTGATTCTGATTTTATTTTTTTCAGTTCACTTTTGCCACAATCTTTTTCTCTTCTCGCTATTATTCCACCACTGTGTACGCTTTTCAATGAATATACAATGTACAATACGTATTGCCTTGTACTCGTGCGTGTGTTGAATGAATGCATAAACACATTTGTCTTCTTGCTATATACAAAATGATTGTTTGCTGAACAACAACTCAACTAAACTCATACAGGTAATATGGCACAGAATACTGTGTAAAAAAGAGGGACAACACTCATACGCACTGATTTGAGGGAGAAAGAAATACTGTGGTGACTTATAAAGATTGGGTATTTAAAGAAAGACAACTATAGTCTTATGTTGCAGCAACTAGTATCCAAAAACAACACCAACAACATCAACAACAACAACAGCTAGCTTTAGGACGCTTGTTTTTGGTTTCATGGATGTTTTTTAACATTACTGCCGCCACTACTGTTGTATGCTTTTACTATTTGCCAATATTGTATGGTTACATTGCGTTTGTATGGTTTCATTGTTGGCTGTTGTGCGTACTTTTTTGTTGAACAGCAGAATTATGCAGTTTGAGGGGTGTGCACTTTACAATAGCATGCTAAAGAAAGAGTAGAATATCGCTTTTGTTTATTATTCATTCATGTTCATTATATGTAGTTAACTTTTTTTATATATACAACAACAAAATAAAAACATAAAATATAAATTAAGAAAAGAGAGGAGGAAATAAAGCGTTCATAATATGCAACTTCTCTGTATATGAGAATATTATTTTTTTTTGTCGAAATTTTTTACGGTGAGCATGTATTTTTTGTCGTAATGACGGGTAATGCAGCGTTGCCAACTACTTTATTGTTAGTACATTATATGCCTGCCGTGTACAGCTTTTGTTTCTACTGGATAATGTGTTTTATGTATGTATATTGTTTTTATTTCTTCTTTATTTTTCTCTACTAAAGCTACTGATTTTCGTCAGAATATACATTTTTTTTGTACTCCGACTAGTGCTTTTACACTATTTACAATACCAAGTTTCATTCTATGCATTTACTTTTGGTCTATTGAAGAAGGAGACCAAAATATTTTAGTTACCATTGTTATTTGGATAGTATACGCAAATTGTTAGTGTGGGTGGTGCTGCCAACAACAACCCCCACCCTACATCCCAGCGGCACCATTAGCCAGCGCTGAAAAAGTAAGCGAGGAGGTAATAGCTCTTCGTTTTTATTTTTCTTTGTTTTCGACATTTGTTTTCGACATAGGCAATTTCGGGGTTGAAATTATAAAAGAATGAAGAAGAAAAGCAAAGGAGTATTAAGAATTTCTTGTTTTGCCTGCATTGTATACATTTAGTCTGTTTTTGATTTTAGTGAAGTGCGTGCAGTGAACAATTTTTAATTTTTAAAATTAAATTAAAATCAAAAATATAAATAAAATTTTTGAATTTCTCATAAACTCACTGTAAGTATATGCAAAATTAAGTAAATATATTTAAAATGATAATTGAAATTTTTGTTTTGTATTATGTAGATGCTACTGCGTCAAGAACGATTAATTTACCAATGTGCTGCGAATGCAGTGATTCTAAAGCAATGGGTAAAATGTAGTCAGCTGTTTCAATTGGAAAATTTTACAATTCAAACTGAGGAGGATTTAATTCAGTTTAATGAAGACATCACTGCCGTTGAAGTAGTTGTAAGTTAAATTATATATGTTTCTTACTTTCAATTTCAACTTATTAATATATTCACATGTAACAATTTTACTAATTCATATATTTCTTTTCATCTATTACGTTATTTATAGACTGCATCAATGAGACGCGTTATTAAAAAACAACCAATTACGCGAAAGATTTCGTGGAATTTTGGAGAATGGTACCCAAGGCAAGAAGTCCTTAAGAGCGTTAGAGAATGTGACAGCAGCACTTTTTGGTATGGTATATTGTACATAATTAACTTTAGCGTATACAATAACATATTTTTGTATTTACAGATGCTTTAAGTACAGATGGTAAGCCGGAACAAGTGATCGAGTTGAGTCTGGAAATCTCTTCAAGGTTTTAGTAACAATTTCCAGAAAAATATTCATATATATAAGTATGTTATATTTTTTTATGTAAATATTAATATTTTGATTTTATGAAACATAAATATAAAATATTATTTATTCAAAAAAATTTATAGTATTTTATTTAAAAATCAATAGCATAGGTAAAATTAAAATTTAAGCTAACATATCAGCGCTGATATGTTGCATTACAAATTCGAAAAGGTAAGCTAACATGTCAGCGCTGATATGTTGCATTACAAATTCGAAAAAGTAAGCGAACATGTCAGCGCTGATATGTTGCATTACAAATTCGAAAAGGTAATCGAACGATTCAGCGCTTGCCCGCAATGACATGCACGTGTTAAAGTAATTAGGAGTTTCCTTTGAATAATCAGCGCTAGGCATTACCATTCAGCGCTGAGGGAATCGATTCCTTCAGCGCTGAAAGTCCCGCTGGGATATTTCGCTGTGAACGAACGTATTGTATTGTAAGCATGTATACTGTATGTATGTGTGCTTTTATGCTTGGCAATTCATGCTTTTGTTTTACTCCTTGTTTTGCTGTTGCTTTTATTTTTCACTTTTTTTTATTCTTATTTTATTTTTATTTTATTTCCTTTATCTAATTTTTGTTGTTGGCGCTATGCTGAATCGTCAGTTGTTGCGCCACACTGCAGCAGTTGTAGGTTGTATGTTGATACATACGTTCAAATTTAGGGTTTGCTTGTGTGTGTGCGCTGTTTAACCAATCACAATGGTGCTTTGGTGTGAATTTTTGTTGCATTGTATGTGCGCATAAGCTGTGCCACTGCTGTTATTCATGCAGTCATTCATTCCCATTTTTATGCTGTTTTTATATATACATATATATGTATGCATGAACGTGTATATCATGCATTTTTTATATGAGTTTAGTGTTTGTCTCCCTAAGTGTGGGTGCGAATAGCATATTTTAGCGTACAAATAAAAAGAGAACAAGGATATAAAGCATACTTTTAAAAAAGGATATTACAGCAATTATGTAGTTGTTTAGAAAAAAAAAACTATAATTGTAATAATGACGAAAAGTGAATTAAAAATACTATAACAAAGCACTAAAACTTTTAAAAGCAAAAAAAAAAAATTTATATACACAAAGGAAAAATCTTTTTTTTTATTGTACGTTATAAATGTATTTTATATTCAGTTTTTACTTGCACAATAATTGAAAGTAAAATTGTTAGTGTGTAGGCATTTTACAGCTAACAAATTTTCTGTATATCATATCATTTTATTTTATTTTTTTTTTTGTATTTGTTTGATAAAAATGTATCAAAATGTTTAATTTTATTGTTAGTATACATTCACTAATTTATATTAGTTTACAGTTGTAAAATTTTCCTTTCTCTAATTATTTTTTATATTATGTCTTAAATATGTAAAATTGTGTCGTTCTTCATATTTGTCAAGTCTACAACAAATGTCACTCAAAGCCAAACTGCGCTGTCGTTTCTTGTATTTATTTTGCTTTATTGTCTTTGTTTTGCTTTTGTTTTGCTTTTTTCCAACAATTTTGATATAATATCGACCGTTTTGATCGATTAATTTGCATAGACAAAATCGTGTTGCCATAAGTAGGCTTTTGTTATTATAAATAATTTATTTTTAGACATTGATATTAAATATCAATTTATATTCCGGTCAATTGTTATAATGAAACACATATAAGCAAATTAAACAAAAAAATAAAATTAAAGATTTTTCAAAACTTTAATAACAATAGTCACAGCAGCTCCAAATATCACACACGTTACTAATTATGCTTTTTTTTTTATTTAATTTAATCCAAATCAGTTTAAAGTGACCAAAAAGTTATATATGTGTCCAATACAAACAATACTTAACCTTAAATGCTCAAGCACTATTGTTTTAGCGGACGATTTATTAAGACATCCGAAGTGAATTGATTTTTTAAAACTGCTCTCATTCATTAATAGTTTTAAGTTGCTAATTTATATCTCTTTAAATATAAATAATTTATACTCACAATATCAATACGTAATAGACACATAGCTTATAGGGGAAGAGTTATCGGAACCCGTCCAAACGCTAGATCAGGTTAGGTTGTACAGGCGATCCTAAGAATACACGTGCTCATTGACATATTGTGGTACTGTATAAGGAGCTCATGGGATCAAAAATTACCTTTAAAAAAAATCTTTGGCAAAGCCACTTCTCTATAAAGGGAAGTGCTAGTGTTGACCATGATCATAAAAAAAAGGAAACCCATAAAATAGTGAAATAGTAGAAAGTGTTTACCTATATTCCAAAAACATCACTGCTTTTTTTTTAAAAAGGTCAAGTCACTATATGTCTCTGCAACTCTACAAGCCACTATATTTCATAAAATTACAATTGAAAAATACAAAAATTTCAATTGGATTGACAACATAAGGAAAAACTCAAAACTACTGGAAACTGCACAGAGAGAAGAATTAATAGATATGGTGGGTTGGTTGCTTGCAGTGGCAAGTTGACAGATACACTTCCATTGTCGATTTTTCGTCGTTTTACTATCACATTCCTTGCAAGGAAGCGTAAGAGATAAGAAACGAAACAAAAACTAAATCCAGCACGTTAAATTTAATTTATATACGTATCACCTTACATATAACCACTTCTACATATTACTTACCTACTTTAATAGTCATAATAATTAGTTACCGCGTTTCGAACTAAAGCACGTCCTTCGCTAGTGGATGATTTTATGTGACGATGTTAAACCCTGTGTATGTATGTATGTTGAGCATTTTCCGAGTTAGTGCATCTGGGAACTTTTACTCTATGATGGCTGGGGGTTTTCTGCGGAGTCCCACCCATTTGACAGACTAATTTGAGTATTCCTCATAATCTTCGTGATTATTCAATGATTGATCTAAGATCTTCTTACCGCCACGTACGGTTAGTGTTTACTCTGAGATTAGATAGTGCTAAGTAGAGCAGCCTGTCGGTTTTCGCATATAGCTTCAGAGCTCTGTCCCTTATGTATTTTTTGACCGCATCTATTATAAGGTCTCTTAGCATGTC